AAATTGGTCAAGAGGTCGGAGTAATCATGAGCGGCAATGAATTCTTGTTGCAGCGTGACATTGTCCGCGACCGCCGCCAGTGCTTGATCAAATGCCGTGTGCGGTGTCACTTGCAAAAAGACGACCCCCGTCCCATGCAATGCCAGTGCAATGTCTTGTTCTGTTTCTCGATCGAGTGCGAATCCATCGGCCGCCAGCGCCACCAAATCCCCAATGAACCATTGATTGCGTGGATTGCCCATCAAGCCCGCTGCATACGCGGCCTTTACGACTGGTTTCCATGCCCCGGAATTGATAATGCCAACAAAATATCTCAAATTGGTTTCCTGTAACTGCTCCATGGATGAATCCAAGGAATCCACTGTGTAGGCGACACTCTTGACATCCACACCGTATTGTTTCCCATAATACTGTAAATCCTGTTCGTACCGACGTCCCCAACTATCTTCACTGTGCAAGACGCCAATGTTACTCACATGCAACTGCTGTTTGAGGTAGACAATGGTAGCATGGGCATCGCCTTCATTGGTGGGGACGGTCCGTGCAAAAAAGGGCAAGGCATCCAGTGAAGATGCCGTGGAGGAACTGGAGATTTGTGGCAATTCAAAAGCACTTCCGAGAATCCCCACGGCTTGACTCGTCACGGATCGAGCGGCACCCAAAATGGCAAAGGGTTTTTGTTGTTGTGGTTGTTGTTCTGATAGTAAACGCGTATTGCCACGAGGAGGGGCGGTTGCCCACGGCATTTTGGTCCGCAATGGGACGGCGGTTCGCGGCGGTACGGTGGCGGCTTCTCGGGGAACGGATGTCCGGGGTGTCTCTGCTGCAGTTGGTTGTTGTTGTTGTTGTTGTTGCGCATGAGGCAGAGACCAATAGTCGTTGTTGTTGTGATGATGATTGTTGTCTTGCTCTGTGGAATCTCCTGTAGCCACCGTGACCACTTCTTGTACCACGGGAAGACTCCAGTAGTCATTGACGTCATGCCAAATACTGTCGCTGTTGTTGGCGGCGGTGGAAATGGTAGTAGCAGCAGCAGCAGCATTACTGATAGTAGTAGTAGTAGTAGTGTTGGCGGTGGGTCGACTCCACGGTTTGGCTTGTCGCGAATGTCGTGGCAACTCGTAAGACATGACTTCGGTGGCCGCTTGCAGGGGCGAGAACTGCGTATCGTGATGTCGATACGTCCACGAAAAGTCGCAACTCTCCAGGAGTTGCGGCAATTCGGGTAGGACGGAACCTGTGCGATGTTGAATGTGTTGAAAGGCCAAAAACGCACTCAGTTCGACATACACTCGAAACTCTTGCAGAGCTCGTTCTCCCGTCTCGCTGTTGCGACGAGACAAGGGCAACAGGGACATCAAATGGCCTTCGCGGCCGCCACTGTCGGTCGATCGAATACGAGACGCCACCATGGTGTCGCTCATCTTTCCAATTGTTCTTACTATTATGGAAGGCAAAGCGAAGCTTCCAGAAAGAGATTAATCAATGGTTGGTTGGATTGCTTCAGGTGTCGACGTGAAGACGGGTTACGGTGGTTACTCTGCTGGAGTCTGGGATCTCACTCAGGGTTACTACAATGGAATGGTAGGGGCGACTTGACTTGATTTGACTTGAACACGCAGTTCCATGCGGCGTCGTCTGTGCTCAACGACAAGAAACAATTCACGGAACAACAAAAAAGAGCGTGGCCACATGGGTTCACGAGACCTTTCTCAGAAGTTCTGGGCCACACGCAACATAACAGTTCAGCTCAAATGCCACATCTTCACTGTGAGTTGGATCAGCTGGACATAAATAACATGTGACTTCACATCTTACCCTGGAATTAAGCCATCTACTCCCCGAAGGCCAATCCCGGTTTTACTTAAAGTTCCCAAGGGAACCATTGGGATCGTTTCTTACAGTTGGCAGTTCTCAGTAGCCATTGATATTATTAATGAGTTCTCTACTTTAAGTAGCACTGCTTGAATGCTTGATGACCGCTGCAATTGGAACTTGGTCTTCCTTCTGGCAAGATCCATTTTGTCTTTTGTACATAATGTTGATACAAAGTGCACCAATCAGACAGCTGGGGGGAACTTGGCTTATGTTTGTTCCATGAAAACACTTCACTCGCATACTCGAATCGAGAAATTTCTTCATTATTTACTACTACTATTAATAGTAGTAGTAGTATTAATTTTCTTTAAATCTCAACAAGGGGAAGCTTAAGGCTTTCTATTTTTAATATCAGTACTCTTCTTGCAGTCTTTCGTCGTACTCCGAGTCTCCGAGTATCATTCTCATAGCTTTCTCATTCAGTACATACATGTACTCGTACCACATTTAAACATGCTTATCGATAGTGTGTCCCAAAGAATGACAGCTCTTGGGAATGTCCACATGTCCACGATCCACACATCCACACTCTTGCCAAGCTCCATTCTACTGTAAAAACACACCCACACCACATTTTCTGCTCACAATACTAGTATTATGGATTATGGTCCTTTGTTGCTTGCCAACCTGCTTTTGGCTGAGCAGATGATATAGAGCAGCTATTGTTGTGAAATGGGACAACAGGTATGGAGTCTGAAGTCTGATCCATAGATAGAGCTTGTCAGAGATGGGATTCGCTTCAATGGTCCGTTTCGAAAAACTAGACTAACAATTCTCCATGTTCTAAAGTGTACGGTAGCTAGCTAGCTATCACATACAGGAAAAAGAAGCAGTGCATTACACCGGTGATCCTGCCTGTGATCCCAATTGATCGAAAAGACGGTTCGTTTGGGGATGGCTGATGAGAGATCAACTTTACCCTTTGCTTGCTTGATTGATTGTCTTCCTTCGCTTTTACTTTGGTTTCTTGCTAATACTAGTACGTGCACGACGGTAGAGGTTCGCTTTCCTTTTGGCCATCATTTAGCCTGTGCAATGGTATGGAAGAAGTGGAGTGTGCCGTGCCATGATGAGTCAAGCCATCTTCAATGTCGAGAGCAATGAATACAAGGCGGCAAAGGAACGGCACGAGAGGAAGAAACCTGGTGAAACACCCACCCAGCGCCAAGTGTGGTTGAAGGAAGCGGACAACCATTCCCTCCCCTGGAATCCTTCGGGAGAATGTGGAGGCGGTCCTTAATTAAATACTTTCAAGCAAAGGACGCAGAGACAGAACACACTTACTTTCAGTATTCGTGGTGAGAATGACACAATGACACAGCTCCAAAGCCTCGACGATTCCTGAAGGTGGAGGTGCAAAAATCAATTCAAGCAAGCACATTTATACCTGTAGACTATGTGTCTACTGTAAAAAGTACCACTATGGTAGTAATTATTAATACCTGGTATTTGACAAAGGTTGTCCGAGTGTCCGAGTGTTGTCTGAGTGATCTCGAAGACGCTGGCACTGATGTCTCGTTATGTCTTTTGGTCCCGTTATGGCAATAACATATATTTTCGTATGAATGTGAGAGCAAGCGTACCGACGAACGCAGGCTGATACAGAACCGTTCATAATAATATCCGGGCCGGCAAGTTGCGACTGACTGACTGGCCCAACCAGCTTCCAGCCTTTGAAAAGAGGCCAACAAGTAAGTTCGCAACTGTGCAGGTCCCGATCTTCCCTTGCAATCATGAGGCATCCCTTCTTGGAGGTACAGAGCTCAGGCTGATAAACAATGGTACTATCCATAATATCCAGGATGGGTCATCCTTGAACTTATCCAAAAAGGATCTTCCCACTTCTGCGTCGATCGAATCATGGCATCCCTTGGTGGTGGTAAAGAGCTCACAATTCCTTCGACACGCACTGACCTCTAGAGCTACCATTATGACGTTCGCCCCAGCTGTCCCAACACTAGTAGTGCTGGCCGCTGTCGCCCTCCTGGTCCTCGTGGATGTTGGAACCGCCGCCACAACGGAGGGATCCTCGTTGTTGAGGGGCGATCCCCATCGTCATGCCAGTGATGAGCATCATGGAGGAGGAGGAGCAGTCGTAACATCCGGCGCTATCGCCAAAGAGGAGGAAGCAACAACAGCAAATGAAGCCTTGGAGAATCAACGTCAGCTGGAAGGCGATCCTCTTCTGTCGAGTGTGAGTCAAGCTCAGGATCGAGACTTGGCCAGCAACGACGATGGAGCTTCCTACCGCGGGACCGTTCACAAGACCAAGACTGGGAAGAATTGCCAACGATGGTACGTCCCTTGCTACTTCTGGATTGTGTCTTTTGTTGGAGTGGGTTAGGTTAAGGTTGCGCATACACAAGGCGTCGCAACATCAGCGGACGGCTAATCACTGGCTGCTTAACTTCTCATATGGTTTCATTCTTGTTCCTGCTGCCACTCCCAGGGACAAGCAATCGCCCCACGCGCATTTTCATTCTGCTGAGGAGTATCCCGAGTCCGGTTTGGAGGAGAACTTTTGTCGCAACCCCAACGGTGACACCGGACCCTGGTGTTACACCACGGATCCCGAGGAGCTCCGGGGATACTGCACCGTCGATGGTACCGATTATCGCGGCAATGTTCACCAAACCAAAGAGGGGATCGAGTGTCAGGTACGTACGTGTGGTTCTACAAATGTGCGCCCCGCCCGCTTGCTTTGTGGTGATCAGGGGGGCTGCAAAGGATGGAAACGCAGGTGCAGAACTTACACACAATCGACTGTTCCATTGCTCTCTATCTATCTATCTATCTCCTTTGCTCCTTCTAATGCATGACTTTTGTGGTTGATTTGTGCATCATCAGAGCTGGTCGGTCCAATCACCCCATGAGCATCCGCACAATCCCGAAAGTTTTCCTCAGTCGGGCTTGGAAAAGAATTATTGTCGCAATCCAGACGGAGATAGTGGACCATGGTGTTATACCACCAATCTCGAGATCGCTTGGCAGTACTGCACCGTGCCTCCCAGTTCCTATTATCTGGTGGTGGCCTACGGAAGAGTACGAGGCGGCAAATATACCGACATTCGAAAAGCCAAAGCTGAACTTGCCAAGGGCACTGGCAAACAACACGGAACTCGTCTCATTGTCGAGGTCCAGAACGGCACGGTATTGTCGGATCCACACACCGTCGCGGGACAATCGCAAGTGTGGGCCAATGGATTCCACAAATGGTGGCGCGATGAGAACGACATTCGTCGAATGATCAAAATTGCTCAAGAATACCTCAAAACGGAGGCCGCGGAAGAGGCCGACGAGAAAGCACAACAGGAAAGCGAAGAAGAAACTGGATCTTCTTGGGGTGCCGCGGCCTCCTACAAGAAGAAGGACTCGGGTTGCAACGATAACGGAACGTTGGAATACATGGACCGGCACAAGCTCGATTGCGGAGCGAACTACGCCATGGCCGATTGGCACCTGGTGCGGTGCGGCGACAACGATCGTTTCCACATCAAGTACGGTTGTAGAGCCATCCCGGACGGAGCCACTGTCGATACGCACCGGACTACCTGTCAGGAAGGGGAAGAGCGAAACATCGAATACTTGGATCGTCACAACGTGGCGTGTCCCCACTCTAACCAGGTCTTGCAGCAATGGCACTTCCGCTCCCATTTGTGCCCCGGAATCGGTGCCAACATTGAATTCAAATGCGCCACCCTGCCCGCCGGGAAGAAGGTACAAAACTGCCAATCCTACAACACGGGATGCAACGACATTCACGGACGCAAAATCATATACCTCGATCGTCACAAGCTTACATGCCCTGCGGGCAAATACATGAAGCAGTGGACCATGGACCCAAGCGGTTATTGTGGCAGCGGAAGGTCCCAATTCCAATATACCTGCTGCGATGTTGTGGTGACGCCCTAGCTAGTAGAATTGATTTCCAAATTAAGATTATGAGCCTTCAGAATGAGGCAGCTACTTGTAGGCTGTTGTTCATAGATACATATAGAATTCCGTGGGTGTTGTAGCCAATAGACTTCCATGGAAAAAGATAGATACCGATGGAATCCCACCTTGTTGCTTCTTGTTAACTTCCGCCTTGCATATCCATATGGTATTTGAATCCTCATTCTATCACTCCCCTTGATACAATGCCATTGGATCGTATCCTAAACATGTAGTGTCGTGTACCCAGGCGTCTCCCCTGGGAGGTTAAACCCATCCAGTTGCTATTCTCTTTGGACCACGTTATGGGTGTAACCTGATCTAATCTAGTCCTTCTTCCAAACCTTCCTTGAAAGATCGCAGTAGATTGACTGCAGACTGTCGTCATCGCATGGTGGTTTGCCGTTCACGTTGTTCTGTCTTGCCTTGGAAGGACTATCTTCTTCCTCGTCCTTATCCTCATTGTATGTCACCTCAGAATCATTCTTCGTGTACTGCATGCCATAGCTCTTCTTCTCTTGATCCCTGTGCTTGATGATCCATTCATTATTCTCCTTTGACATCATTGCCACACATTGTCAGGGAAAGAGCTTCCACTTTGTTTGTCGTTGTCTTCGTCTGAGTAACCATTGGATCCGTTGTTTCTCCTGGCTTGATTCTTCTGATTGGCCCTTCTGTGACTGGACCTAGAACTCACACGGCCAAGAGTCCTTGCTGTGACTCTCAAGAAGTCAACCGTCTCTTCATATGTGCACTTGTGGCAATCAAGCTTAGCTGCTTCAAAACCTCTGTCATGAATTCCCCAGGAAACATGCCTTCTTGATTACATTGTCCTATGGATGGCCCATTCTACTGAGCTCAAGGCATTTCTTCTCAAAGGTGTTGCAGTACTTGTCGAAACCACCATTGCTGTCGTGGTGCAGACGGAGAGAGGAAATCTCCCCTATGCCATAGATGCAATGGTAGTGGTGTGGGTCTCCTTGTTGCCGCCAAACTTGTGACGGTTCGTTTGGGGATGGCTGAGAGATCAACTTCACCTTTACTTGCTTGATTGCCTTCCTTCCTTCGTCTTTTCGTGCTCTCTAGCTAGCTAATACCGTGCGACACAGAGGTTTGCTTGTTCTTTTGGCCAGCCTCGCCAGCAAGCAAGGACGCACAAGCAAGGAGGCTACCTCAACAATCTCTTGAGAGCTCTTTCCTTCTTCCTACCAGTACTTGCCAGGCTAAGCAGAGCAGCTACATCGTTTGGCTGACCTACCTGTGCATACTTCCTACCGCGCGAGTACATATATGGTACACCGGAACCTGTCGCTCACTGCACAAACCAAGAGCTTGTTTCAAACTCTTCCTCTCATTTACTAATTAGCACATTCAATCGCTGTCCATTCACACATCATCAATGATGTTACAAAGTAGCCCTGCCCGCCGCACCCCGTGGCTGCTTTCATTCTTCACTCATTTATGAGCATATTCAATTGTTGTCCATCAATACACGCCACCAATGACGTTACAACGCCGCACCCCGTGGCTGCTTTTATTCTTCTCCTGGTAAACGGAGCGTCTTCAACAGACGTTCACAATTGCTCTCTTTTTGGCACGTGTCGGACGTATGTGTCTTGACAATGGCGCCATACTTGTCCTCAAACGAATTGGTCGTGAGTTCACTCGCAACAGCGGATTGCTGCAACGAAGCACCTCGTCCAAGCGATTCTGTCAAGTCTTTTTGATTGGCTGGACGCTTCAGCTTCACCGTGCTGTCGCCCATGGACGTGGCTTGGTGGTACCAAATGTGCCACCTACCATTGATTCGTTTAAACGCATTGGTAGCAGACAACCGCTGGATCAGCTGACTCTCGGGACGCAGCTCACCATCCACCACTGAACACGAAATCGAGTAGACCAGCTCTTGGCAAAACAGCACAGCCTTATCTGTGCTCTGAAATTCGACTTGAATCTCTCGTGGCTCCATCCAGTTTCGACGCATGGCACCATCCATTTGGTTGACGGCATGCTTCCAGCTCCTCATGATCTTGTCGTATCCACCCAGCTTTTTCATTTCGGGGAATTGGCAAACGCACCGTTTGTCTTTCAACCAGACGTTCTCCATGGCTGCCATATCCAAGGAAGAAAATGCGCTGTAAAAGAGACCGTTGGCCTGGAGGATGGCCTTGAAGTCTTCGGCAGGGATACGACTTTGCCGAGCACGCATCCGTTTCGAATTGCTGGGAGTCATGGCCGCATGAGCCTGATCTGTGGCTCCGTCATCTTGGTTCCGAACAGCTTGTTTCTTCATTGTATGCACTTTAGTTGCGGCGTTTGTTGGTTTTGTATCTCGCGGCGACGCCTGTAGTTTCGATGTTGTGCTGACTACACCATTGGTATCGACCTTCATTAGAACCTGAGTTGCCATGGTTGAAGATGAAATGTCAAGACGGATTCTTTCGCACCGTGTTTTAAAGCTCTTGTCTGTTTTCCAGGATTTTCTGTGAATTGAATGAGGTTGAATGAGACATCCAATGTGAGCGATCTCTTGCTTGCTGTTGGCGGCAGCTTCGATTTGGATGGTCCCGGCCATCCCGTCGCGTATCGCTCACACGGTTGTGACATCGAGCATCTCCCTCCAAAAAGGCCAGATACCGCGCATGCGAGTCACACTTAAGACAACAAGCACGAATGACATTTGCTGGCATGCTTTTCGGCAGCTCACTTTATTGGAAGCGGCTCAACTCTCCCGCCGAAAGCTTGAAATCACTCGCCAACGGCATCAAGGATCTCCCTTTTCGGACCGGTGACCGAGACCATACGCCAACCTCCCACCAATAGAGGCCAAATGAATCGAGCGTAGGGACGCGTTGCAGCACTATAGCAGATAAATAGGCAACCAATCACCATGTTGAAACGATCCACGAAGAAACGATCCCATCAAAAGAGTGCTCAATTGATTCTGGAAGCCAACGCAACCTTCTATTCTGCATTTTCCACATTAGAGTACGATGCCATGGAAAACCTGTGGCTCCCGGATGACACGAGCATATGCATCTTCCCCTCCTCCAGACCGCTCAAAGGCTTCTCGGCCATCATGAAGAGCTGGAAACACGCCGTGGAAGCCATGGACGGGAACAACTTGCGGAACTGGATGGCACCTGATGACATCCAGTTTGAATACCTCGGAACCAACAAGGCCACCATTGTGTGCGATGAGCTGATATTTGTCAGCTCGAGTCGTATGGTCCAAGGAAATGTCTTTCAGCACACCGACGTGGTCAACAAATTTCGAGCACGAAACATGTTCAAAAAAGTTGGGAATCGCTGGTATCTGTGTTACCATGAAGCATTCCTCTTTCAAGACAGTAACCCTCTCGACGAATTGGGACTCAGTGCATCCTCCTCGGAAGACTCCAAATCAACCTTCCTCACCATGATGACCAGGAGAACCGAACGAAAGCGAGATCGAAACCCCTTCAACATGTTCTTGCTGAATTGGAACATGTGTTCTCCCTTTGACTGTGGGCGGCGGCCTTAACACCACGGCAGTGTCGTGTATCATCAAGCTTTGGCTCCATCGCTGGTTGTCATCCCTGGATGTCAGTGGTATGCATCCAGTTGCAGGCCATTGAAACGGAGCAAGCAGCCTCATGACGTGATCCCAGCAAGGCTCCCAACACAGCTGGCCCTCGCGTGTTATCATCCTTACGATAGAGTACCAACCAACCAACCAACCAACCAACAAAGCACCCATTCTTCGCTTCGGCTAACGAGCTACCAGCCAGGCAAAAGATTCTTTTGGTATTCCACGGCTCGCGCTAGAGCTCTGTGCTGTGATCGACCATGACGTTGCAATCATTCGCTAAACGCTAAACGATCCTAAACTACCTCACGAAAAACCTTGCATATCCTTCTGACCCAGCCATCTCCCTTTTCTGGTGAAGAAGTTGATGAACCTATCCTACTAGCTGTAACCTAAGCTGTATCTTATGCCACTTTCCCAACACCTGCCTCTCCCAACTGCAGTCACCTGGATTCACGATCCAAACTGAAGATGGGGTAGTGGCGAACTGCCAATGCCTGCTACGGTATGCTTGTACTATATTCGTTTTCGGGCACCAGATGTCACTGGTTGGTGGCGCAAAGCTTCCCTTCCCATTAGCTTTGCATCGTCCAGAGCCAAAAAGATCTCCATCGACAAATGGGTCTTTTAGTGTCTTCCATCAAGCCAAGCCAGCCATTCAAAGTTTTTCGTGCTCGTGCAAATCCATCCTGCTCGTCGTTCATTTAGCCCCACACAAACCCGTCTCTTTTGAAGGCATGATAGGTCTAGCAAATGCAGCAAAAAGTGAGAGTGCTTAAACACTGTGGTTGTTGATAAATCTGGATTGGAGCGATCTTGAATTCATGTCCAGCACCAAAATCTAGCTAGATAAAGAATCCGAACTTGTCAGGTGGCGTGAAGTGAAGTGAGTCGACATGAGCAGCACATAGAACAACAATCAGAGGTAGATGCAACTAGCGGAAAGTATTATGCAGCTTTGCCTCCAACAGCTATTCCCTGGACTGTGGCCTAGAGGAATGGCACGCGAAAGGCACGCCAAAATCTTGGCTGTTGGCAAAGCGAACCGAAGATAGTGCGAAACCACGAAGATGTTCGGGAAACTGGAGCTAGCCAGCAATCGAATGGTTTCAGCGCGAGCACTTGTTTTGTAGGATAGTCTCATTTTTTACACAAAGATAGCAAGATACTGAGAACCCCGTCAACATGATGCCCTTAGATTTCCTCGAGTGCATGTTCTGGTATGTGGTCTTCCGCGGTTACCAAATGGCGGTGGCGTTTGTCACGTGGCTTCTTCCAACAAGTTGCGCCAAACGAATCGGCCGGTCTGAATTTGCAAAATACAAAATCAAAATCACCACTGACTATGATGGCGACGGAACCTCTCTCAACAATAAGACAACCAGTCTTATCAGGGATGAAGAGAAACTAATCAAATGTGAGGTGGTGGTCCATAATGCCAAACTATTTCAAAGGTTCCAAGTTGATGACATCTTAGGTGTTGGAGAATCCTATATGGTCAGCCACTAAAGATGCTACACGTACATGTTTTGCATGTCATCTCTTTTTCACAACTTCTATCTCTTTCAACAGGAGGGTTGGTGGGACTCTGATGATCTCCTAGAGGTCATCCGCATTGGTCTGAGTATGCCTGCGAGCTTGACTGAGGTGTTGGGTGACCGCTACCTCAACGCGGTTAATAAGCAAACAACGTTGCAATCTTTGGCGGTCGCAAGGGTCCATTATTGTCTTAGTCCGGAACTATGGGAAGCTATGCTGGGACCGACGATGAACTACACGTGCGGCTATTGGAAGAAGGACACCCACACTCTCGAAGAGGCCCAGATCAATAAGATGGATCTCGTCGCCAAGAAACTCAAGCTCAAACCTGGTATGAAAGTGCTTGATCTCGGATGCGGATGGGGCTCTGCAGCACATTACATGGCTACACACCACAACGTCAGCGTGGTTGCCTACAACAACTGTCCAGAACAGGTGGGGTATTGCCGCAGGAAATGCAAAGGATTGGACGTTACCATTCATTGTGATGACTACCGCAATGCCACCGGCACCTTTGATGCTGTGTACTCAATTGGCTTGTTTGAGCATATTGGCCATACCAATGGTAAAGGTTACTTCCAAGTGGTACATCGATGTCTCACACAAGAGGGTGTGGCGTTGGTTCAGACCACCGTCAGTGCAGACAACGAGATCAGGACATGTAGGTGGTCTGACAAGTACATTTTTCCAGGTGGCGAGTTTCCGTACTCCCACGAGATGCTCAGTGCCAGCAAAGACTTTGGATTTGTCCTGGAAGATGTTCATAGCTTTGGCAGATCCTACGTTAAGACGCTGGCCGAATGGCATCGCAATTTTAACGCCCATTGGGATGAGCTTGAGCCCAAATTTGCTTCCCTGGTGGAGGGAAAGTTTTATCGGATGTGGAACTTCTACCTCTTGGCAGGCCTTGCCCATTATGATACTCGCTTGGCACAACTTGTGCAGTTTACATATACTAGGCTTGGAAGGAAGGAAGAATATGTTTCAGTTCGTTGATCGGAAGCGCCACGCGCAATGTCATTTGTTCCTTCATCTGGATACCTACAAGAAATCGAGAGTGGTCTGTGTTTGTGTTGTAATCCATGGTAAAATAATTTTAATGTTTTACATCTGTGAAGTCGCAAGCCAGTCATGCTTCATTTTAACTCCCACAGCTTACTTCCCAAGGAAAACGTGGGGGGCTGGAAATCCCACTCACATTGCTTCTCTCGCGCACCTCTACAGACCGACACACGAAACGCGCAGGCGTTGTACGGTACTACTTTGTTTTTTGTTGGGGCGCACCATGATCCTTGATTCGTGCAACCACTCACATCAACAGAGTGCTTGACGGAAGTGTATCAATGCTGCCGCTGCTGGTGCTGCTTGATTCCTTGTGTTCCCGTCCATTGCCTTCAGATTTCCTTAGCTTTGGCAATGAAGTCAAGACGAGAAATCTGTTTTAGTGGGTGCGCCCCGTCGTTCCCTTACCTTGGCCTTGGCGTTCTATTGTTGTTGTTGAGTGTGTCCCAGACGCAGGCACGTCCCTCCACTCCCAAAGAAAAGTATATGGCTGGTGCTAGTCAGAGCTCTTTTCACCAACAAGAGATAGCCGAAGACCGTCAAGATGATACATCAGACAGTGGAGTGGTGATCAGTACAGGCTCGCTCTTCGTTGCGGGGGGGGTTTCAATGTCTATGGCACCACGGACTTGCCTGAGCAAGACAATAGCGAGAAGGTTTGGACCTGTCTACGTGGCGTTTCAGTTGCCGATAAGTGAGGCTGGCAGACAGATTGAGTTCGAAGCGGGTCGGGCATACAGGGACTTGGGAGGGTCATGCTACATTGTCGCATGGAGTGAACATTCATTTGTTTGCGATGATGTCACTCAAGAGTTCATTCTTGTCCGGGGTGGCTGGCCAATCCCATTGGAAAATCCTCAAGATTGCGTTAACGGCGGCGGCGCCATGGAGAACCAAAACCAAGCTTATTTGGTAGTATCCAACAACACTCCCTTAACCTGTCCAGGTATGACTATCGATGTACACAATAACCCTGTTCATATTCGCCTTGAACTCCCCGACGGAAGGAATGCCTTTAGCAACGTCTTCTATGCTGGTGGCACTATAGGAAGAAAGATTGGAGACCGCTGCTACCTGATTGAGTGGACCAATATTGGGTTTATTTGTGACAGGGACACCTATGAATGGAAGCACGCCAGTGGTCTTTGGAGGAAACCTGAAGAACCTATTGGGTGCGACTCGTGGATAGAGGGAGAGGCACGATTCTCCAATACAGCCCAGACGTACCTGCAGGTAGCGGACACCACAGGACAGCCTCCCTGCAGATCTGCAGAAGTGGAACAGAAGAGCGGGCCTCTGAGAGTAGTGTTTCGGCTACCTGGAGATAAACGTCGAGGCACAATTCTTACATACGAAAGCGGTCAGGTTGTGAGATGGTTCAACGGCACCTGTCACAACATTTTATGGACCAATCAGTTGTACATGTGCGATGTGTACAGTGACAAGTGGATATTGGAAGCAGGTGGTTTCATTACCTCTCCTGCCGACGCCCGGTACTGCAGCGGAGGAAATGGGGGTTTTGTTTTGAACGGCGAACAGCCCAATCTGGAAATAATTGATATGACACAAATAACAAATGCCCCCACTCCCAGCTCTACAGCTACTCCTGGCCCCACACTCAGCTTTACAGCTACTCCTGGCCCTACCCTCGGCTCGACAACTCCTGGGCCAACTCTGGGCTCGACAACTCCTGGGCCAACTCTCGGATCGACAACTCCTGGGCCAACTCTGGGATCGACAACTCCTGGGCCAACTCTCGGATCGACAACTCCTGGGCCAACTCTCGGCTCGACAACTCCTGGGCCAACTCTGGGCTCGACAACTCCTGGGCCAACTCTGGGCTCGACAACTCCTGGGCCAACTCTGGGCTCGACAACTCCTGGGCCAACCCTCGGCTCGACAACTCCTGGGCCAACTCTCGGCTCGACAACTCCTGGCCCGACCCTCGGCTTGACAACTCCAGGGCCAACTCGCGGCACCACAACTCCTGCCCCAACTATGAGCTCTACAGCTCCCATCCCAACTGCTGAAAGTCCCGGTCCCACATGGTCCAGTGCAGATCCTACTGGATCGCCCTCGGTATCTCCCAGTGGTAAACCAACCGGAAACCCCACAGAAAGCCCAACCAAGCAAACAAGCAACGGACAGGGTCTTGTCGTCAGACCAATTGAAATAGGTGTTGCACCAGTCGTTGCCGAATCCATTCCGAGATTGCCGACATCGAGGCCTTTGACGGTAATAAAACCGTTGGAGACAGGCCCCTTTCCAACGTTTGCCACGTTAACCTCGATTGGCATCTCCGCGAGAGCCACCGATCCACCCACTGGCTCGCCTTCTGCTCTCAACATGGCTGCCATTCCAACCAACGCTCCGACTAGCACTCCATCGCTTAGACCAACAGCAGGAAGCAAGACCGATAATCCCACCTCGAGTAGCATGGTAGCTCCCATTGCTGTCACGTACCCTCCAATTACCCAGCCTCCTACCTTTGCTACGTCAGCCCAAACTTCAGAATCCTTGTCTCCAACTATCTCAGTCTTTGGAATCCTTGGGACTCCTATTCCAGTTGACGTGGTGATTTCCGTACTAGGAGATAAAACAACCCCTCCAAGCACGCTGCCCACAAGCTTACCTGTGATGGCAACGAATGTTCCAACCGGCAAAGAGCCAACTGAGCAACCTACACTTATTCCTGCCCTGTCACAGGAAGAAATCCTTACCCCGAGACCAACATCTGTTCAAACATCCCAACCTCCAACATCGGTGGTTCCAACTTCGACACCGCAAGTCTCAAGTGTAACAACTCCAATGCCAATTCCAGTAACAACTCCAATGCCAATTGAGCCAGTAACTCAAACTCCCTCCACGTTTCCAGTGTCCACTCCACCTACGTCTATCGCTCCGACGAACACCAATTCTGCACATTATTGTGGGTGCCCGTCCTGTACTAGTTCCGTTTGGAACGCGGACGCCGATACCTTCTCTTGTGGTGAGCGCATCGAGTACATCGTGTACAGCTTGGGCGGATCATGGGAAGCTGCATGTCGGCAGGTTGCGGGCCAAGAATTCCCTCAAAGATGTGGGCCGTTTTGTGATCCAGATGCTTGCCATTCACTCACCGTGAACAGTGGAATTACACCCGACCAAGATGTGGATCATCCACTGACAGCGGTTCCCACGGCAATCCTTAGTGGGACTGGTGCAGAACCCACAATAGTACCCTTGAAAACAACCATGCGACCATCAATCTCACCAACACAACTACCCATTGCCACACCCATCCTTAATCCAACCAGAGAATCTACCGAGGCTCCGTCTGGTGCATTCTTCGCAGTATCCAATGACGAGCCAGACGCTGCAGATTTGCCATTGGAGACGGACAACGGAGGAACGACAGGTATAAACGCGAAACCAGGTCTTTCCGCCGGTTTACACACCGAATCTCCCTCAGTTCGGCCTAGCCCGGAGGTGGATTGGCCTAGCGTGTTGATTACATCAGCCGCAACTCGCATGTCTTCGGCAAGTTGCGTCGCTGCTCTAGTAGGTTTGATGGTTGCTTTTTGTGGCTTTTGGGTGTCTTAAGGTGATGATTGGGCAGGCTTTGCAGTCATGGTGTGGCGGGTTTTATGTTTTATGCTACTCACTGATCAGGCTTTGGTGGCGGGTCGCAAACAACTGTCCTGGGGCGGGGTGTGAAGAGAAGAGGGGTCGAATAAGTAATTCCTTAAAAGCTTTGCTAGCTAGCCTTTGGTGATTTTGTGGATTACGTTACAAAACAACACTTGCGAGGCGAGCGCTAGCTAGTAGTAAAGTCGCTTCTCTCTCACCTACACTGTAGTAGCCAAGGGAAAGCAAATGGTGCTCCTAGTCGAGGATCGGATGGAGACGTCCAATTCCATAGGTGTAGCCTACTACTGGTACTAACTTTGGTGCGATTCACAATCTGCTACTAGTAGACCTATCTGGTGTCCTTCGAGCCACATGCGCTACACATCCTTTTCTATACCCACCACAAGTGGCTACTGGAAGTGAAGCTCTTGTGTAACTTATGTAGATCCTAAGTAGTTCAAGAAAGATTGCTTTCCACCCTTGAGACGATGGAACTTGGAACTCATGTAGTTGTCGAATCGAATCTTACGCACACTCCTTATTCTTTGCTTGCGCTGCCACTGCTCCCCGTTCAGTTTACCTCTTAGCACAAACGACGTGATCTGCCCAACCAGGTATAGTACGTATGTACCCAAATCTCCACACAGCTGGATGTACCGTATGTATGTCTGTGTGCATGGACTACTGACTACCGTACCCCAGTTTACGTTTACGTGTAAAAGCAATTCTTGGGCTCACAGCAGGTAGGAGGACATGGATTTTTGTCGCAATCCACACTAAACTCTGGGAAGACGGGTCCAAGTTCGTTTTCTCCAGCAGAGCAATATGCCGGTGGATAGGGTCCCTCGAAATTGTTGTGTTGGATAAACAACAAGACTGTTGTTGTTGTTGTTGTTGGGAACAGTTCGTTAGTTGAGTAGGAGGAGCACTTGAAAAGAAAGTGCCAAAATGATACGTCGTAACATACCTAGGGATTTGTTGTCGCGAAGATTGTCCGGGATCGGTCCAGTAAAGTTGTTGTCTTGTGCATACAAGACAAAGAGATTGGGCATGGCCGCAAAGACATCTCCCGGCAAGTTTCCACCAATAGCATTGTCCTTGAGTGATATCACGGTAACTTGGCTGACTAACGCGAGTGCCAGCGGAATTTCTCCTTGCAGGTTATTTCCATCAAAATCGATTTCTTCCACCTGGGTCCGCCCCCGATTACAGGTGATCCCATACCAATCACAATAGCTGGAACTGGTCAACCAGTTGGTATTTTGGTTCCAATTATCTCCCCGCAATGCATAGTAGAAATTGGCCAAGGCAAATCGAGTGCCGACATGATCGGTGGGAGGTGGAAAGTCATCTTGATACAACAACCAGGACATGGCACATTCCAGCGGTGCCGTGGCACAATCTTTCTTTTGTAGTGCATCTTCTGTGTCATCATCATGATAATAATAATACAATGGGTCGTTGATCAAGTTGATTTGGGATGTCACCGGGTTGTTTTTCCAAATCTCCAATAAAATGGGGAGTTTTTCCTCGGGAGGTTGTGGTGTAACGGCGGGTGTCGGTGGCATGGTGGCGGGTAGCACCGTTTCTTCCTCGGTTCGATCTCGTGTGGCTACCACGGAAACGACCACGACGACAATGACAATCACGGCCAGCACAAACGCTCCAATTCCATATAATTCTGCCTTGCTAATCTCACCCCATTTGCCGGTTTTTTGAACATCCTGGAAGTCCTTGTTAATTTCTCGCTTTTTCTTAGTAGGCTGTTGCTGTTTTGGTGGTTGTTGTTGTGGTTGAAGCAGTGGTTCATCCTCGCCCCGTTCCTTGGCTGCCATTTCTTTGGCTTTAGCATCTGCTTCTTCTTGACTACTACTAGCTACCGCCCCTGGCTTTGTCGCTGGTTGGTGGGCAGCAGCAGCCGCTTTGGCAGCTTCATCAGGATCCATTGTTGCAGGCGCGGGAGGAATAAAAGCCGCATGATCAGGAGCGGCGGCATCTTCATCCGACGCGGACGTTTCGCCTAACGGAGGCGGTGGTGATTTCAGATGGTTCCAGGATGGGGCAGAATCCGGTGGTGGGGGCTTGAGCAAGGTTGGAGCTGGCGCCTCCTCAGGAACTTGCGGCGGAGGGGGAGCCTTGAGCATAGGTTCCATGGCTGGCATTTTCCGATCTTCTTCCGCTTCCATTATTTCGTCAAGAGGTTGCATAACATGATTATCGATGGCAGGTAGTTTCCGGTCCATAAGGTCTTCCTGTTCTTCTTCCATTGCTTGATGCTCTTGCACTGCTGGCTCATCTTCAAAGCCCTCCTCTATACTATTGTTGACAGGCTGCTCGATATCGGGTGCTGCATAATCATCGCCGGGAGCCGTACCGGTATAATCGATGGGCGGCAGGAGACCAGATTGTTCTTCCTCTGCTACCGTTGGCAACTCTTCCGCTAAACTCTTCATTTCGCTTTCGTCGTGAAAAAACTCACGTGGATGTGGTGCTTCCAATGCGTCCAATGCACTAGTATTGTTCGAAGGTCCTGCTTCGGATGGTTTGCGATAATCCATCAGCCTCCTCTTGCTTGCTTGGTGTGGGACCTCTCTTGCAGGACCCCAGCGCGAGAAGAATGAAAGTGTTCTTGTTGTTTTCATCACGCGATTGCGAACCTCGTTTCGGCTGCTGCATCAACACTGCACGGAAGAAAGGTATCACCAAGCAGTACAGTACGGTACAGTACGTGGTATAGTGCCACCTTGGACAGTCGTGACTGAGCCATTGACTGGTGGGAGCATCCATCCAAAGCCTTATTACCATACTAACAAAAGATTTATTTTAAAATGCCAAGCTATTCATAAGAGGGTTTATGCGACAGTCTTGCTTTATCACTCTGAGTACCGGACAGAGTTATGGAAAGATCCAAAATCAGGAACACTATTTGTATTGTCCTCGAGTAATACTCGGATCCAGACAGCATCTCTGAGGCGTAGTAGTGGGAGCTTTCAGAAAGGTAGTTGAATGGATTGGCGGATGAGAAGAAGTCATGGGGCTTAAATAAATTTAACTGCCACTCTTGGCTCAACGGGCCAAGAGTGGCCCTCAACGCACAAGGAACCCGGAAAACTAACTCAATTGCCTACCCTCGTTGCCTTCCGGGCGAGGCAATTGATTTGGAGATCTTACTTAACGGAATGTTCACCTTCTCTAAATCTTCAATCAAGTAAGTCAACGCAACCACATGGTTTCTGGGGACTTGTTGAATTAATTGGTTAGGGTCATTATTGATATTTTGCTCTACTTATAAGTCTCTAACGGCTCGTCGGTTAAATCTACTCATCTACCCCATCCCATTCAACTACCTTTCTGAAAGCCCCCAGTAGAGTGCGACCGTCAGGGTTTTGTAGAAAAATCTCCCGGCGAACTGAAGATCCGAGTTTAATCGTGTTTCCGCGGCGAAGCCAAGGAAACACGGTTTAACAAGGATCGACAAGGCCGAGGACGAGGCAAGATCGAGACAACAACCAAGGCTGAGGCCCGGAAGGCCGAAGGCCGACTGCCGAAGCCGAGGTTGTAGTCGAGATCGCAGCCGA